CATTTAACGCATGTAGAATTGAACTAGTATCCTAAGAAATATCTAAATGCATATTGAAAATTTATACATGTCTTTTTTTGGCTAACTTTTATTGCGTTGCCATATGGAATAGATATAGTAGAATACACACGAGGCAATTTTTGTCAATAATATCCAAAACTCTTATAGTTGGAGCGGTTAAAAATGAGCAAATTAGTCAATTTCGAATTTAAAATATATCAAATCCCAAGAAATATCTAAGTGCAAATCTGAAAAATCTATACAAACCTTCGCAGGAAATATATACTTTTAGAGTTGTTTTTGTCTTCTTCTCAAGAGAATAGCACACTAAAATCTTACAATGACCCATTGAGAAAAAAAAAAAAAAATCTCTCCCTCGTTAGGCAAGCCACTCTCACGATTTTTTTTTTTCCCCTGCTGCTACGGAATGTGTAAAGTCGTTGCTTTTAGGAGTGAAAAAAGGAATGGTAAAATCATTATATTTGGAAGTTAAAAGAGAGAAATGACACTTCTGTAAATAAGTGTAAAAAAAGTAACTTGTTATAAAATTAGTTTGCTTTAAAAAATAGAGATGATACACGTTAAAAAGATTAAGTTAGCATTGTTATCAATAGTCTATAATAGAATTAGTATTTAGCATTCTGCATGGATTTAATTAGTATAGCGGTATCAACTCCTTATCTATCATTAATGCTAGTGCATTCCAAATCTCCAAGGATAAATCGTCTAAAATTAAAGAAAATTAGAAAAAAAGAAAAGATAAAATAGGAAGAAAAAGGAATCGCGTTTAGGAAGGACTAGAATGAGAAAGGCAAGAAGAACATGAAAAGAGGTGATATTTCCCTCATCACGTGCTCTTTATTTACTGTCTTTTCTCAATTTATCTTTGTTAGAATAGTTACAGACACCGTTGGGATTGTCGGTTGTAAGGTTGATTTTTGGTTATTGGCATTATTTTAATTTGCAGAATTAATTCGTTTGCAGGCATTATGTTTGGAAAGATTGGGATTTGATGAAATCTGTTTTATTACACGGTTTCATATTTTGATGAGTCAACTATGGTTGTTTTGGTAGCTTAAATACTCATAAAATGATTTGAGAAAACTGTGATTTGCAGCAAACACTTTGGAAACTGTTTCAATGGAAGTCAACTTTTATATGTTTTTTGAAAGTTGAATTTTGATGAGTTGGTTGATTTGTAAAGGAGATTTTGTGTGGCTGTACAAAAACGTTCAGGTTTATGGAGTATTATGCATGGATCATACTGCATTTATATAGAGAATATCAAGAATCTGCAGAAATTGAATTTAAACCAGATTTACAGCTTTGTTGTAGAAAATATTGCAACAGATTCTACAACAGACTGTGTGCAATGGACTGCATTGAAATCTTTAACAGTTGGAATATTTGGTTATATATTTAGAGTCTCACAATGATTTCTGCACGCTTGTAGAGTCTCAAAATTTCAGATAGTTAGATTATTTGTGAGCATTTGTGTTGCATATTTTTTTGGGAGAAAGGAATTTGGGTTTTCAGGAGAAAACTGATTGAGTTGAAGGGATTTCACGTTAAGTCGAAGGGGGGTTAGCTGAACAAGCCTATTGGGTAGTTGTAAATTCATAGACGTCATACTTAAAGAGGGAGTCTCAAGTTGTTTAAGTCAATTTGAGTTCATTGTTTACTTAGTAGATTGCTCAAATATTTGAGCGCGATCTCGCGGATGTAGGTGGTACCGAACCGCGATACTAAATTCTTATGCCTCTTATTTCTTACTTCAAATTTTTTAGATATTCGTTTATTAATCTAAAATAAAACTTGGTAATATTATCAAACCGGTACTTTCAGAAACTAAAAAAATAAATTCCTTCTGTTGTGTTTAAGGTGTTTAAGTATTCTGTTCGTCGCAGACGTGGATGAATATGTCCATTCTTTTGAAAGAAACCGCTCCAACGCAATTGAACTTAATGGTGAAGGTGCTTTTATTGGGCTATATTCTTTTACTCAAATTTGAATTTGGTTAATGAATTATATTAAATTTGCAGGTCTTGTGTTTATAATTACTAATACATCAATACTAATTAATTTAAAAATAAATCAGATGCTTGATCAAAAAAGTTTTATCCGAGAAAGTCTACATCTTTCTAGCTACTGATTGCACTTAATTCAGTGATAAATTGTTTTCGTTAGTGAAGCTCAGGCTTCCCCGGCAAACAAAAAAGGTTACATCTAATCGCTAAAAAGTGGTCTTGCTGGTGAGGGGACACTGAAGTGGTGCTAATATTATCCGACGAAAATCTAGCTTTCCTCAGCTTTAAGCTTTTGGAGGTAAATTGGCCTCATTTATAGTATTATTTAAATAATTATTCAACAATGACTTTCTTTTAAAATAAAACATTAACTCAATTTAAATAATAATCTTTCATGACTTTCAATAGAATTTATTTTAAGAAAGCTACAAGGACAATGTGATCAATAAAATAAATTGTACGACATATTTCTCTCTAATGACGTGAAATCTTGCATATTACTACTAACATGTCATCTTAGAGAACTTTTAACAACAAATTAAGAAAACTGACATTTATCCTCTTCCCTGAAAACCACTTTTTGTTGTAGTAAGACAAGTGAACATAGTGGTTGCATCGAAAATTACACATCTGTCCATCACAAACTGTAGGGTTTAAATCCTTTACTCTTAAATTCAACAAAAAAAAAAAAAAAAAAAAGGGGGACATTTTAAAAATTTTCAGGGATTTATTTCTTTTCTTTTCTTTTTTAAAAAGGGAAAAAATCAGAAATACAATTTAAAATGAAAAAAAAATATTATTTATGTTAATCTATTAAAAAACAAACAATTACAATTTAATTAATAAAGAGAAAATAAAAAATCATAATAACACTGATTAAACGATATAAATAATAGACCCACAAAAAACATAGCTTTTCTCTTCTTTTAAAAGGAGAGATTTACAAACGGACCTTTTGCTCGAAAATATTGATATTTTCCCTCGAATAATTAGTAGAGAACCGACGTTACTCATATGGAGATAAACATCAATTCGATACACAATTAATTAGAACGATTTTTGACAAAGATATCGCACCTACATGAGTTTTTCGTAAACTAATCCGAATTCTAGTCAGGTTCATCGATCTTATGCCAAATATATATGCTAGCATCTAAAAAAAAAAGTAAATAAAATTAGTGTTTTATTATGTACAATGTACTTATTCGAGGAGTACCCGTATAAAGCCAAGAAGGGACCTTTAGTTTGACTGGAATAAATTCTATTATTATTATTATTATTTATTATTAATATGCAAAGCATGTATCTATAATTAAGTATAGTTGTCGTTTTGTCTTTAGGAAGTCAAACCGTGTTGGGAAATTGGACTGGACAAAGGGAATGCATCTGATTGCGGTGGCTTGGAACTGGGAAGTTTCGGAGTTGTTTGGTTGGAGAATTCGTACCCCGATTCGAATCATAGTTTATAATTTATTATAGTATTTTTTTTATAAAAAATATACGTAAATTAAAAATAATTTTAATCTCATAATTTTAATTTATAAACCAAACGTCTACTTCATTTGTCCCACAATTTCATTGTGTCAGATTGTGCCTCCAACTCCAGTATGGGATTACATTTTTTAAAAAACGACAAAATCTGGTGGAAGGAGCTACACTAGTCCCGCACGTACAGTTGTTAGGCCTCCGCGGGTTCAATTTAAAAATTTGAGTTTAAAAATAAATTTATATAAAAAAGATTTGTAATAATAAAAATTGAACTTAAAATTTTGTGAAAAATATTATAATAAAAATTTAAATTGTAATTCCATTTGTGAGAAAAACAGAGTCTTTGCGTGCATGTGTTTCTGTTGGCCAACTTTCTTCACTTTTTTTTTTCTTTTTTTACTCGAGTATTACTGATTGAAAAAATGAGATAAATATTCTTTAAAATGTATGTATTTTAGATTTTTACTCTTATGTTTAATTAATACCCTTTAGTTAAACCTATAAAAAATACCCTTTAGTCAAAAAACTATATTAACATAAAAATCTTAAAATAATGTATTCAAAAAGTAAGTTTACTAATTTTCTCTTACTCCTCTTTTAAAGCCACAAGTACTCATGTATTAACCTTTTTTTAGTTCCAAATTATAGATTAGATTTATCTTTAAAAAATAATTATAGATTAGATTTCGGTCTTTTATTTTTAAAATGTTATTAAATAAATCTTGGATTTATGACTTTGTTTCAAATTAGTCATCTGCCCATCTTTTTTTTTTTTTTTGATACAGTCATCTGCCCATCTGATTATGTAATAAAATCACAAGGAAAAAACAAAAGGACCGTGTATAGCTTAATAGCTTAATAGAAGTTAACGTTATAAATTTTGTTTTTTTTCAAGAGAAATGTGCAGATTTTATTGATTCAAATAAGCTAAAATGAAAGGAAACAAATCTCGGAATGGCCTAAGATTGAGCAAAATCCAACACAGCATGGAAAGCATAAAATCTGCACATATTAAGATATTTTTATTAAGAAGGAAAATGTATATTTCTGCGTTGGTATTTTAAAGATTATATAGAAGAAAGGACTAATTAAAGACAATTTAATACGTTATTGAAACTTTTGAAAATCAGGAATCAAAATAGTATTTGACCTACAAAACTAAAAAATGACTTTAACCTTATATTAATATATTTCTCACCTTCTGATAAGCTTCCTCGCGGTGGGTTACCAAATAGGCATTCACCAACCGATATATATAATAATTAGTTTTACCAAATAGGGAAATACCAACCATGACTTTATATATATATATATATATATATAATAGTTGTGCCAGGCGTGTGCATTGTCTCTATAAATACTCACCATTATAGCTGATCATCTCAAATTACTACTAAGTATGCTACTTTATTTAAGTGTTATCGTGACGATGCGAGGCTTCCTCAAGTGCTTTGGCAAAACAAAGTCATCTTTCAGAAGCAAACGCCAACAAATATCGCAAACATCACAAGGCCTTGATGATGATCATGATCATCATAACAATAACAAGGTACTAGCGGAACCGGAGGACTCTATCACTTGTTCATCAATTGTTGTAAGGAAATTCAGTTGGGAAGAGATTGAGAAGTTCACCAAGAATTTTTGTAGCTCAAGAGTGATTGGATATGGTGGATTCAGCACAGTCTACTTGGCTGGAGATCTCATCCCATCCACGACTAGTACTGGTACAAATCTTGCGGCTATTAAGATCATCAATGGCAGCCGTTTATTCAAACAGGAATTGGACATTCTGAGGCAGCTTCACCACCGCAACATCGTCGGCCTAATCGGGTATTGCGACGACCGAGACGATCAATGGGCACTGGTATTGGACTACATCTCCAACGGCGGCTTGGAAGATAAGCTCCACGGCGGAGTTGGTGAGACTAGTACTACTACTACACTTCCTTGGAGAAACCGAAAGGCAATAGCCTTACAAGTAGCTGAGGCCTTGGAATATCTGCACGAGATGTGCGGCGGCTTGCCGATCGTCCACGGCGACATCAAGGCCTCCAACGTGCTGCTGGACCACCACCTGAATTGCAGGCTCTGCGACTTCGGCTCTGCGAATATCGGGTTTTCTTCTGCGGTGACGCCGGGGATGAGACCGAATCGGGCGGTGATGATGGGGTCTCCGGGTTACACGGACCCTCACTATCTGAGAACTGGACTACCATCAAAGAAGAATGATGTCTACAGCTTCGGAGTCCTCCTGCTTGAGCTTGTCACCGGAATGCAGGCCTTCTGCTCCGAGAGCAACCGGACGTTGGTGTCCCGAGTGGGCCCGACGTTCGGCAGAGACGACGTGGACATAGCGGAACTCGTCGATCCGCGGCTTGCCGGTGAATTTGAGGCGGAAGAAGCAAGGGCTCTGCTTTCCTTGTCGGCTGAGTGCCTTCGCCAGCCGCCCACTCTAAGACCTTCTGCTTCTCAAATCTTGCAAGCGTTAAACGACAACGTTTCTTTCATTCCCCCAAGTATTCAACACACGTATCATGGCTCCAAAAATCTGCTTACACTCCAAAAGTAAAATTAGTTGAAAAAATACACGCATAAGGTGATAGCTTGTATACGGCTGTAAATTATGATCAGTGTTTCCTGTATAGATTCAGCAAAAGAAAAGTAATCTTGTTACGAGTTTCATTGATAACAACATGACCAGAAATTATACTCAATTCCTTAATCCCATAAAACTGATTATATATACTCTTTTTTTTTTTTTTTTCTCATTTGTTCTTTTAATTTATTCTCTGTCCATAATTCTTTATTGTGTTAATTTTGTGCATCTAGTTGAAAAATATCTAGTAACGTTAAATATCTTCTGAAACGACATATATAAGTGCAGTTTTTTAGTACATATTTTAGCAACGTGGATGTATTTATATGCAAATTATTCCCAGAAAGTTTATATAAACTGTAAAATAGGGCCAGTCCAAACTCCAAAACCACCATTGCCCGTAATTTGGCATCGATACCAAGTTAATTGTGAGTCTTGGGTAGAACTCATTCTCAAAAATTAGCTCAAAGAGAGAGAATATCTAAACCATATATAAACATCACAGCAGCCGATAACTTAGCAATGACAAATTCACAATCTAACAAGTAACAACCCACTCAAGCTAGCAGTTTAACTCTTCTAACTAGAATAAAACATTATGGGGAAATTAAATTGCATATCATTTAAAAAAATGTAAGGATATTTAAATTACATTTTTCATTTAACATACAACGAAAATTAACGAATACGATAAGCCTAGAACCATTATAGACAACAAAACCTTTTCCCAAAAAAACAAAAAAAAAGAACTTTGCAATTGACATGGCAATGATAATCTAGGGACCTAAGTTGAAAATTAGCCAGGCAGAGCAAGTCTACCTTTGGTCAGCATCACAGAAACTATAATGATAAAAGCTCAATATATGGCACCGAATTAAAAAGCACATCGTTTCCACAAAGCACTAGGGAGAAATTCATATTATTGGAACCTAACGGAATAGCTCCTCTCTTGGTACTCGCTCTACTTCCATTAAGGGATTTGTCATCTCATCATGATCTAGACATGTAAGCAATAATAATATTTACGTCACACCTTTATGCTAGAACGTATCACTTAATAGATATAAAACATAGTAAATGTAAAGGAAACTATTCACATAGTTCGCTTATCTTAGGGATTACGTTTATAGTTAAAGGAGACCTCTCAAACTCATGGTTTTAACTGCTAAATTTCATGAAAAGGACTTGGCTTTAGATTGTGAAAAAATGCGATCCTATGTCTGCGAATAAATGTCAATGCTAAATTTTCGCATTTGAGCAAGAAAATTACTCTCTACTTTTTGTGTCAAATTTGCTATATATTATACTTAGTGATAAATATGCCATCAAATATAATCTATGATAAATTTGATATTTGATTGCTATAAGATGATATGCTTATTTTTTTCATTTAATATTGAATATTTGTATTTTAAAATTATTTAAAACTAAAAGTGTACTTTTCCAACTTTATAAATAATGATGATTGCAAAAGGTAGATTTGAACTAGTATTATGCAGCGTTGGAGTACAAATAAAAATAACACATATCAAAAAGGTCGTTATCTCATTTTTGGAGTTAAATATATAATAGGAATTAGCATTTGTATTAGAGATTGTCATAACTATTGCATCCAGAATACGGGTTTTCTTGCCACTTGTCCTTGGATGATTTGTCAAGGCTATAGATTACTCTCCTCCCATTAGAATCTTCTAAACACGGGTAGCATGTTTGCATGTTCAAGTCATCAAACCTACCTTTACTAGGCTTAGGTAAGTTAGCAATAAATAAATAGTTAGGCTTAGGAGTTAGGTATCACAATTCTAGCCCTCAGTTCATCTAGCTTCATGCTTTGCTAGATACCACGGCTTGTCTCTTGAGGAATTTACCATATTTCCAAGCTGTAAGTATCAACCTTCCAATTTTTCACACCTAATCTTCATATTCATCCAAAGGTAAATACATGCTAGATATGAGAAATCCAACCCGATGGAAAACTACAACATTCTCAAAGACTATCCTCATAAAGCCATATGAACCAGATGGTTTCCGAAATTAGCAACTAACGACAGATCACGAATTTGGTCATTGAGATCTTTTCTTTTTGTTCATCTTTTCTTTTTTTTTTTTTTCTCTAAGAAACAAGTTGAAATCAGATTGACTATCAATTGTTTGTGCAAAAAGAATATGAATAGAATTCCAAAGTATAGTATTCAAGTAATGTTCATGATGAAGAGCTGACCGGGAGGTATATAAGAAGAAACATAATTGAGGGAAATGACATATGATTTCGACCGAAGATAAGCATGAGCAAAGTGATTCTCTGTGAATTACTTCCAAGTAAAATTCGTGAAGAATGCTTGTTCATTAACTTGGCCAAGAATCCTTCAGCCAAGCTAGTGAGGCCCAAGTCTCGCTCTCCGCGGCTTGCAGTCTTGCGCACTTTCGGGTGCTGCATGGCTAGCCGGCGGAGTGCAGGACGGGCCTCGGGTCGTCCTGTCTGTGCTGCTGGCTCCAAGTTTTTCTTTTTTCTTTTTGGCGGGGTTGACTAAATACAAGGAGGGCTGAAGGCAAAGAACTAGAATGTTTAATCTTCATAATCAATGCAATAGGCTAAGTTTCCTTAACGAATCTATACAATAGGCTAATGGACTTGGGCCTTATAATTCTATTAAAAAAAGTAAAAGTTATACTACATAATAAATTAATGAGAATGGAATTGAAATATAAGAATTTTTTTTTATAAAAAAATTACGAATAATAAAAATTGGTAGTAATTTTTATAATGATATTCGCCATTATACTGTAAAATTACATAGTAATTATTTTAATGATATCTTTTTTTTTTCCCTTTAAGTGGTTAGTCTCTTTTTCGCGCTCACTAATCACCCACGAAATCTTATGTTTTTTTTCGCATATTTCGCATATGCACCATTGGGTATGCGCATATTAGATGAGAACATCGTGAGCAAAGAAAATCAACTTGCGTATAAACACCTAAAATTTGGTGGAATATATAAAAATTTGTCCCAAATTAATTCTTATAATATAAATCCTATGGGCGATAGCGATTGCATTGTTAAATAAAAGGAAAAAAAGAAAAGAAAAGACGTTTGTGTGTATTCTCTTGTAGTTTTTGACGAACAGGACAAACAAATGCACCGCCTAAAATAAGGCCATCCACGTCCTTGTCTCGGACGAGGATAATTTTTAAAATGGAGAGTCCTTACCTTCTTAATTAGCGGCGGAGTAGAATTTTATTTTAAAAGAGACATAAATTAAAAATGTGAAGAATATTATAAACGCTAATAATATCAACACTATTAAATAGTTGGAAGTATATTTTATACATGTATATTGATAAATTTATTCAATTTTTTGATATGAGAATTTAAGTTCTAAAAAGTTTAATAAAAAAATAATTAAAAAAACGGTGTTCAACAAAGGCAAACTAGAGAAAAGATATTTATGTGAAAATAGTAATCGAGAGGGTTGCTAGAAAAAAAAATGCTTAATTAAGAATGCATTTAGGAACTGTAATTTTAATGGGTCATTTATATTTTTTTTGTGAGGTTCACTTTTTATACATATAGTAAAGATTATATGAAAAGATATATTAAAATGGACAAATTTGAAAAAAAAATTTTTTTTTTTAGCTATAGTAAATTAAAGAAAAAAAATTCAATTAGTTAACACTATAAGAGTTAATATGAAAAGCTCAAAAGAACAATCAGAAAAAACCAAAAAGTAAGGAAAAAAATATTTAGATTAGATTTAGTGGAAATATTTTAAAAGTTTTGTTAATGAATGGGGTATATTTGAAAAAGTTGGAAAATCTATAGGGTGAAAATTAAAAAACCAAAATTCAAGGGGGACATAAGAGGGTATATTAAAAATTAAAAAAATTAAAAAAAAACCTTGAAAACCCTAAGGGTGAAAATAAAAAAATAAAAAATCCAAGGGTGCGTATTCATCCGCCTTATCTCCCTACGCTCCTGCTTAATTGGTATGCCATAACAAGAATCACTACAAGAAAAAAAGTTTTTTACGACGACTTTTTGTCGTCTCAAAAACCTGAGTGTCGTCGCAAATAACAGTTTTTGCGATGACGTGTCGTCGCAGATATGTCGTCACAAATAATTCGTTGCAAAAAAAGTTTTTACGACGACATAGTGTTGTCGCAAATGTATTTGTGACGCCAAGCGTCGCTAATACGCCGTTGCAAAATTCTCGTGATATGATCTTTTTTGCGACGACATTTTTCAAAATGTCGACACAAATAATCTTACTTTTTTGCGACGACAAGTCTAAAAAAGTCGTCGCAAAAAACTGAAATAATTTATTTTTTATAATTTTTAAAAAATGGCAATTAATTAATTTTTAATAATTTTAATTAAACATTATTATGTTACATACTGAATATAATTTATTAAGAATCATTAAAAGTGAAATATAAATTAATATTAAAAACAGTAAATCTAAATAAATTTATAAAATATATTATGAATATTACATGAAGTGCATATATAATGTTCAAAAAAATATAAAAGTCTAAATAATGTGAAAAATAAAATAGTACATATAACGAAACTAATCGTCTAAGTTTGTAGCATCGCCAACAACCGAATCATCATTAGGACTGTCATCATCTGAAGAAGGTAGATCAAGAGCGTTTAGGTCAACTGGTTCTGGACGATCAATCGTAGGTAATTGGATGTTGGGCTGCAATTTAGACACCAACTCTAACATCTTCATCTGATTGTCATAAATCTGCATTTGTTCCTGGTACGATTTCTTTAAATAACGATCCACACGTGGGTCAGGTTGAGCCGATGATGTTGCGTCCGAGAATGAACCACCAGATGAAGGAAAAGTCCCAGAGTAATACTTTTGGGAGATCGTCGGACCCACTCCTATCTTATGTCCTCTACGCATGCCAAGAACTTGCTCCAAAACCCCATGCTCGTCAAGGAGGGGTCTAGTCGAGCTTGAAGTAGTCTGTGT